ACAGGGGCACGATCCCTGCCCTGCTCCTGCTGGCCACACCATTCCTGATACAAGCCAGGATGCTGTTGGCCCTCTTGGCCACCTGGGCATCCTGCTGGCTCATATTCAGCCAGCTGTTGACCAACACCCCTAGGTCTTTTTCTGCCATGCAGCTTTCCAGCCTCTCTTCCCCATGCCTGTAGCATTGTGTGGGGTGGTTGTGTTCTATGGGGTGTCACCAACCCCTGCTTTGTCCTGATGTAGAGACATGTGCCTCGTGAGCATGCAATAGTGTCTTCTCAGTTTGGCATGTGGTCTGCGCTGTAACAGGCTGTGGTTCAGTCATGACTTCTTCCATGATATTCTCCCTTATTCCTCTTAGTTATGTTTGATATAGTTTCATTTTCCCTGCAGCCAGCTGGGAAGGCTTTGCAGTGTTGCTCCTTTAGCAAACAGCGTGACTGTGGCCGCACAACCCATGGCTCACTTGCTGTGCAAATATTTTTTTTTTTTCCCTTCCCTCTTCCTTCCCCCCACCTTTTTTTTTTTTTTTTTTCCCCCCCCCCCTCCTTCCCCCCCCCTTTTTTTTTTTTTTTTTCTCCCCCTCCCCTCTTTTGAAAGAGCTTCTACGTGGCACTGTGCTGTCCTCATAGTGCCTTTCTGCGTGCTGGAACAGAAAAAAAAAATTCTATCAATAGAACAGCTCAGTCCAGTTTTCCCCTTTGAGAGCCCAAGACAACGTGGTTTGTTATTTCTTGTTGCTTTAATTTGGTATTGTTATCATTAGTAATAGGTCATAAGCTTTGTACTGTGTTTGCAAGACCTCAGGATCGAGGCTTGTTAGGTTTATTCTGAGCTTATCTTGACCTACCTGAGGCACCTTTTTTTTTTCTTTTTTTAACTTGGCTGAGTGGTAAGAGCAATTTTTCTTATTGACCAAGTGGCTATGGCTTATTTGTTTTACTTTTGTGTATCTTCACGTAGTGCAGCTGTAGGTTTATATAGATAGCAGTAACAAGCTGTTGTTATGTGTAGAACGAGGTATTTATGACTCTGACCCAAGACATAGTGTAGAGAAATGCAGGCCTGCAAAGGTCTTGAGAAGTGGAGGTGTGGGATGTAGTGCAGAGGAGTGCAGGTATGGGGTGATGGGATGGGGCTGGAACTGGAGACCCCTCGGCTATAAACCGCTCACTCAGCTGAAGAAATGCAGACTTGGAGCTGGACCATGCTGATTTTAGGGGCAACAAACAGTATAAAAGCAGTACCTAATGTATGTAAAGGGCACTGACTATAGTAATTGAGATGTAACACGCAGCTGCAGATCAAAGAAAAAAGCATGTTAAAAAAAAAAAAGTTACTAAACATAATTGAAATGACTCTGGGTGGAACCTAGGGAGATGAAGAAGGAACCATCAACATGAACACCTTATTTTTCCTGGCACGGGACTCCAGATGCTGACAACTCACTGGAATGCCACCACCATGAAACCCCTAAGAGTGGGAAAGGTGAACACGAAAAGGGGTAGAAACCACTAGGTGTGTGTGATAATTTTGATAATAATATCATTCTGCATGGAATTATTCTTTGTTTTCCTACAGTAGTGAGATCCAGACCAACAATCGTTCTTGGATGAGACTGTTAAGATTTTAATTATACCAATAATATATCTACACACATATATGCTGTGCTTTCTCTTCGCCCATAAGATGAGATTTTTGAGGTTGTTGCAGTAGCATGCCATCTTTCTCCTGATCTTTCCCTGCTTCTCTTGGGTTCCCCTGATCTTGCTGGTACCATGCCAAGCTTAGTGTTGAGGTAACAGAGCTCTAGAGCAGCACTTGGACCGAGTCACAGGATGGAAATCTGCATAGCTGCAAGGGGAACAAGCCTTCCTAGTGCTAACCCAAGGCTCCAAGGCTCCAGGCTTGACCCTGCTTGGGCAACCAAAGATGGGAATCCTGGTCCTCAAAGCGTGGCTCCTCCTTGCTGGACCCCGCGCCCATATCACTTTTCTCTAGGACCAATGCACAGTGTGCAAACCCAAGAGCCCCCATCCCCCTTCTTGGGTGGCCTTGCTTCCTCTTAGGCTGGTCACCACTTCCTACCCACCTTTTATCTCCTGCCTTCTTTCAAAGAGGAACCACTGCTATCGGTAGCAACTGCTTTCCTTTTGGCTTAGTTTGAGATATTAAGTAACATGTGCTTGGGCAAAGGCAGTGCACAAAACTTGGACAGCAGATGTGAGCACTGGGCTCCTGCAAGGCTCTGCAAGGACATATCAGCCCCCTGGTCTGGGCTGTGCACGCTGTCCAACACGCGGCTTGACCTGTGTCAGCCTTTGCATCGGCCACCCTCCCTGCTAAGACTCTACGGAGAGTTGGGAGCTTCTTTCCCTCAAGAACGTGCAGGCAGAGAAGAGCAAACAGGGATGAAGGCCCTCCTGGTGGCATGTCTGGTTGTTGTCCTCTACGTGGACATTGGTGAGTTGCTCAGGATTACTGCAAGGCTTGGGCTGGGACGGAAAGAGCTGAGATTTTGTGGGGGGAAGCCACATCCATAACTTCCAAGTCCAGTGGTCTTTAAGAAGTTGGTAGATAGTGATAAAGAGCTTGTCTGTACAGTCTGCTTTGCCTCTCCTTCATGCTGTCACAGCTGCTAAAGGACTTGTGCTGCAGACACCCACAGAGCAAGCCCAAGTCTGTCACCTTCCCGCGTTCTCACAGCACATCACTGGAAAGAGCCCTTTGGTTTTTTCCTGCAAACCCAATCGCATCTTGAGATCTGCAGTTAACGCTACACTTCTTGGATGGAGGTGCAGTTGAGCTTTGAGCTAAAAATTGAGTGCAACCTGCGCTGCTCTTCTGGCCCTGTGAGCATTTGCCAAATGCTCCAATGGGGTAGTTGAGTATCAACGTCCGCAGAAAGCCTCTGCTGCCCACTCACCTGGAAGGTGGGGTTTTTTTTCTACAGGGAAGTGTGTGTTTAGCAATTTTGGGTGTGGGATAGTAGAAAGGTAGGACTGGCTCAGCCAAATCCTCTATGTCTTATTCTATGTCCCGTGGCCTGCATGAGGATGGGAACAAGTCCAGCTGGGAAGGATTTTCTTGCTTTGACCTCATGCAAATCTCTTGTGTTCCCTTCCTGTAGCCAACTCGCTGACGTGCTACACCTGCACCAACCAGACCAGCAATGATCAGTGCCTGACGTCTTCCCCATGTCCCAAAAATGAAACAGGCTGCGTGACTAGAGTTGACACGATAGGTTCTGGTGAGTACCGCTGCCGTGAACTGCCTGGTTTGTGTCCTCCCAACCCTGCTGCCCAGTGCTCCTGCGTGTCCCAGCCCCAGCCCTGCTCTCTGTGGGTCTGTGTCCTTCCTCCCCTTTCTGCTCCAGTGCATTTGGGTCTGAAACGTTCCTCTTTCATGAGGCTTTGATGGAACTTGAATAGTGTTGGGCTACAGGTCAAGCCCAACTATTTCTCTGCTTGAACAGCGAGGCAGAGGGTAGTTAAGTGAACATCATAACTCACACAGACCTGGGCGATCTCTTGTGCTGCTTACACAGTAAAGTTAGGATTTGCCCTTGGAAGAAATATTGATGAGTTGGTTTTATTTGACTCTTTATCCAGGCGCTCAAGAACGGAAGCTGATCAACAAATACTGCATTTCAAGTTGTGCTAAGGTTCAAAAACCTTGTAGCTGCTGCAGTGAGGATAAATGCAATCGCAGCAAGGCATCTGGGATGAGACCTCCCATAGCAGTGCTGGGAACTGCAGTTCTGGTCAGTGTTACCAGGCCCCTTCTCTGGACTGGACTGTGATGAGATCCCGTCGAATAACCTGTGCGAGCTTCTTAACCCATTCTGGTCCCCTGGCACCTGCAGTCATTTTGCCTGTCTGTCCCCAGAACATCTTCTGAACATCTGATGTTCAGGCATAGAAAGGTTTCACCAGCTTGAGCTTGACGGAGAAGAGATCCCTCAGTTATTCTTTTATAGCTTCTCATGCAACAGGCTCTGCAGCCACCATTAAAGAGGAAAAAAAAAAAGAAATTTCCAAGATGTTTATTATTTATTCTCTTTTTTTATTGAGAGCTGACTCACAGCAGGGCTGGGATTTTGCAAGCAGCATGACCAGGTTGTTCATACAAGTACACAAAGAGCTAAATAACTGGAGGTGAGTAGGAGGAGGATACAATCCTGATCAGCACAGCCCCAGATCAGAGTGTATCTCTTATTGTTTCAGCCAGCCAGACATTTCTGAAGGTTTATAGAAAAAGGTTTGGAAAAATAATGAATTTGTGTCTTCAGATGCAAAGATGGTCTTGACAAGGTCTGGGACAGCATGGGGAAGGAATATTAGCAAATGAAACACCCTGTGTCAGTTCCTGGCCCTGGGGTCAGCTGGTGCCCATTTATATAGCTGAGCTCTCTCCCTTCGAAATAAGGTGGCTGAATCCAAAATACTGATTGGAAAAATAGATCTGGAATTGTCAGGGATGGTCCTAGTTGGTCAGGCCAAAATCGTGCTACGGAGCATGCTACACTGTGGATGACTGTGGGACAGCCCTTGAAACTGGGCATGGGCTCTCCATTTATTATTTAGATGTAGCTGCCTCCATGACAGCTCTTCTGCAGTGTGGTTCCAGCCCCAGGGCAGCTGGAAGGGTGGTGACCTCCTCTGGAACTTGTTACACTTGGACATCACTGCTGGATCCCCCTATTAATGCCACCAAGTACAGGTATGATCCTGTATGTAATTTAATCCAGTCCCAGCTGGGATTTGGGCAATACGGGAGTCCCAGAGACACCATAAAATCGGCTAATACTGGTAAACAGATTTGGGATGCCCCTGGGGCACCTTTTCCTGCCCTGCTTGAGAGGAAGCCAAAGTGCAGGCTCTTAGAAAGATTTCAACACCTTGGTGTAACCTGGCCACAGGCTGCCCACGCTCTTGAACCCGAGTATCTCCACCCCACAGCAGGACTCCCACCATGAGTACCTGGCCACCTTCCTTCACAACACTCAGGAATGGGGAAGTGAATGGGAGGTTGGGTAGGAGCAGTCACAGGGTCTGAGTCCTTCAGCAATCTGGCATGCAAAGGGTTTAAGCCCATGTTCGTTTGCAGTAAACCCATGGGTGGGATTAGCTCCAAGCTCCCCTTGGGAGTTAAGCACTGAAACATCTGTGAAGGTCTAAGGTGGGGACAGATCTGTGTCAGGGGGATGGTAACGAAACCCACCCTGCTGTCCTGATTTTGGAGAGGTTATGACCTGAAGGATACAAAGAATGAGCCTTGCAGGAGCAAGCACAAGTAAAACACTGAGGAGGAGGAGAAAGATGGAAAGAGCCGGAAAGAAAAATCCCTCTTCAGCCACTGTCATTGGACCCAGGGATGGGAAGAGCTGGAGCTTGCCCTCACCCAGGAGTTGCTCAAGACACAGCTGCCTCTTCTTCCAGGGCAATACATGCTTCAACGTGTAGTCTTCCCTGCCAAAAACAAGTGACACCATGTTGACCTGGCCTCTTCCTCCACCACAACCCAAAACAAAGGATGGGGAACAAGACAGGGTTAGATTATGCAATTGCTTCAATGGGTTTTGTTTAGGGCTGAAAAATCCCTGGTGGTGCAATCATATGTGATGCTGAGAACCTCTTCCATCCTGCAGCCCCTGGTGTACTAGCAAATGGGTGGGAAATGGCAATATGTATGGGCTGGGATGATGCTGTGATAGATGGAAATATTTGGGAACCTTCTGAGGTGCCAGGTAAGAAGTGATGAGGGTAGGAGGGCCTGGCAGACATCACACTCTGATCACAGGAAAGCTGAATAGTTAAAAACGTCAGGGCAAATAAAAGGAAAAGATCCCATGAGACCAAGCCATGATGTTTCCGTCCCTCCTTGTTACTGTGGTTCCATATGTGGACAATTGTCTCGAGGCTTTTTGTGAGAAGAGCCCAGTATGAGGCTCCCAGAAGATGAGCAGATCCCTGGCTGACTTCTGTTCATTGACTTCTGACCTCTGTTCTCCATCCAGGAAGACTCAACAGCCAGAACATTGCAGAGGGCAGCCAGGTAAAGCTGTGTTTACTAGCCAGCTCCAACACAGTTGTGTCGTGCAGTGTGGTAGAGCCAAGAGTAAAATGAGGGACCAAGCTCTCATCCTGAAGCATGTGATTCACACGCCTGCAAGGATCTGGTCTCCAAGGCTGAACATAAGCAAGGGAAATAAACAGTTCCTGGGAACATTCCCTGATCTGTAATGCCATCGTCCACAACGTTTAATTAATCATTTTAATTGCTAGCACATTCCCTGGCGAGGTTTTAACATGGACCAGCCACCATAGTCCCATGCAATGTCTGGATAAAAAGAAAGAGCATAAGAGACCCTGTTGATGTCCACCTCTTGGCCTCTGTGCTGGACATGGTCTTGGACACATTTAATTTAATGCTATAGCTGTAGCCTCATTTCTGCTCTGTGATGCTGGATACTGGGACACCTTTTTTGCAGCTCTCTGCCCTGATCCAGCCAAGCACTGCCTTCCATGCTGCAGTCATGCTGCTTCCATGTGTTGGCCACCCAGCGTGACACCACCATCCTCAGTCTCCCATGTGCCTCTTAGGAAATGCCAGCCATGGCTGTCCCACACCTCACGTATATGCATCAGACATACCTGAGGCCAGGATGGTAACTTCCCAACTATCTGGCTTAATGGGTTACTGGCAACCCTCAAAATGCCAAGCGTCCCATTGTGCACCCTTGCCCATCATCACACTTGTCCATCAAACCACTCCTGCCAGTGGTCCAGTGGTGGACCACTTCCCGTGGCCTTGCAGATCATCTTCCTGCTGCCAGTGAGGAGCAGATTTGAATCCCTGGGCCAGGTGACTCCCCTCCAGCTCTGTGTCAGAGAGGAGACGTTCACACCACCAGTCCTTGGAAGTGAGGGAATAAACCAAGTCAGAGACATTTCTTTAAAAAATCATAATCAATAATTCACCTAGTTAATCATATAGAAGAGTAACACAGTTATTTTTCCCTTCTTCCTCAAAAAAAAAAAAGAGTCAAATGTGGTTAAAGCAAACTGCTTCTTTACCAGCGCAGACCTTTGCCAGGGTGCTCCTGCTGCTGCAGGACACTGAGCCTTGGCTGCCCAGGCTGATTTCCAGACTCACCCAAAGAGTCATCCCTGCAGAAGGACACCACTCAATGAGTCATGCTGGGCAAATCTTATTCCCTGGAAGAGTTCTATCTTGTCAGCTGCTGCCTCATGACATCTGGAAGGACTGACACACCTTTGCTGGCATCCACCATGGCATGCAGTCCCCGGGTCTGGCAGAACTTCATCTGTTGGGCAAGTGATGTGGCTTATCCTCTCCACACCCAGAAGCTGCATGTCCTTTGGAAAGGAATGGTTATAGTACTCATGGGGTTATCAGGACTGACTTCACCATCCTGTTGATCCTGCTTTATGTCAGCTGTATTGGCAGACCCAGTGGTTTAAGACACCAGTGTCAGATACCTCAAAAATATCTGCAAATCAACCAAAAAAACGCACCCCAATAATTCTCCCCCCTTTTTTTTTCATAAAAAGGAAGACACTATGGGTTTTGGTGTCCCTTTGAACTTCCTCTGGCCATGCCTTCACTGTGATGAGCAATGATTAGTCCCACCAGATGCTCTTAATGTCTTTGATGAGCATGACGCTTGCTCATCTGACTGATCTCATGCCCAGAAACTGATGTTGACCCCCGATCATTTTAGCCCTCCCCTCACCCATCTAAGCTCTTTCTTCCACATGTTTTCTGAGCCCCTGCCTCTTCTCCTTCTGCATCTCCATCTTCTAAACCCCAGGCTGTTTAGCTACAGTTGGATCCCTGTTCCCTTCCCTGCAGACCGAGCCTTGCAGGGTGGAGAAGGAAGGAGCAAGCAGAGAGTTGATTGACCGAGCAGCGTTATTCAAAGGGGCTGCTCCTGCTTCCTCTTCTCTGCTCTTTGGTGGCCAGGCAGGTGGTGACTCACGGAGATGTCTGGCAACTCTTTCCTTGGAAGCAGAAGTGGGACAGCAGTCAAATGGAGGCCCCAGAAGGGCTGAAATTATCAGCTCCACCCAAATTGTAAGCACGCAGAGAAATCATAAAGGTTGAGAACATATCTGACTGATATCTAGGAGGACTTTGAATCAGATACTCCATGTAGAAGGGGGACAAAGATATTTTTACCCTTTGCTCAGACGTAGCAAAGAAAAGCTGTTGCAAGGCTGGAAATCAACTTCCAGCATCCCAGCCTCTGCATTTGAACCCCAAAGCCATTGCTCTCTTGCAGCAGCTGTTCTCAAAACCAGGATGCAGAGCATTTAGGACTTTGTAGATAACCAGCAGTTTTTATAGGCAAACAGGAAATTGTAAGACATTTCCCGTTTGTATTTGCCAACCATGAATATACAGCTAGATCTACCCTGGCTGGAGATACTGGGAGTTCTCCAGGTCTAACCCTGGAAACGCACTTGGCAATAATCCACCCAGCTGAAGCTATTAACTTCGGTCACTTTATTATCATTTTGCTTTGAGTAGCTGCCTTCAGTGAACTTTCTGGCCACAGATGTGATGATCAGATTGGAGCGAAACAGTACAAAACCCCCACTCAGACATCAGTAGCATGGCTAGCCTGACCATAGATAAATTAAAGTATTAGAAGCAATACGTGGGATGAATTGCCGTAGTGCTTTCACTCCTCTCTGGACCCATCAGACAAGCCTGAAGGCAATGTCAAGGTGAGAAAACAACCCACATGCATTCCTAGCCTGTCAAATAACGCCTGATCCCTGCCCACTCTTTCAAAATTGTTGTCTTCATCATCACTCGGTCCAAACGCAGGGAAGATATATATCCTGTCCCCAGGTGAGGGTGCTTTTCCTGGGCTGTGGAGACAACTGAGAGAAGATGAAGGCCTCCCTCCTTGCCGTGCTGGCTTTGATCCTGTGCGCACATCAAGGTGAGGAATCACGGTTCGCTACTAGACAACTAATTGTGTGTTTTAAAGTCAGGGAGGCCTCGTAGATGGGGAAAGAGATCATGGGAGAGGGTGCCTTGGCTCTTGCAGTGGTGCAGCTGAAGGATAGAGTGGGTTTCGTATCTGTAGTCTCAGCCTGGATATGTGAAAGGTTTTTTTTCAGCAGGGAAATTTCCCTAACCTATTGTACAACTCGATTTTTATGAAAGCAAGACAGAAAAAAGGAAGCAGTTGCTCTCTGCTAAGAGACTTTCCAGTGAGTTTGTCTGTTGAGATGATGCAAGGCGGTGGTTATTTCCAAATCTTTATGCAGAAGTGCTTCAGCCTATGACAGCACAATACACCAGCAGCTCTGTGCGCCTGCTTCCAACTGCAGTCAGCGATGCTGTTTCTGGCAACAGGGGTGGGACAGGGCCAGATGTCCAACATTTGGCCTTGTGCAGCCACCCGCTGAATGCCCCTCATTGCTGTCCATCTCAGAGACCCAACCAGATTGCTGATTTCAGAGATTCTGGGACAAAATTGGGGAACTAGGGAGCAGTTGGGCTGCAGTCTAAATGGGTCAAGCAGCCTTATGCAGGGATATTGGGTGGAGATGTATGCTAGCGTATTATTTATGTGTATAGATACATACATAGATTATGTATTTTACTTTATTTTACGTATATTAATTTTATTTAGAGATTGCAAATGAAATCAGAGCCCTCTTTAAGTATATGGTCTTCTAGCCTCTATAGACAAGACGGTTAAACAACCAGAGAGGATAAAGGTTATCCTCATTTTTGTAAAGCGGAACAGGGTTTGGCCAGCGCTTGGAAATTTGCCACGTTGTCTGGTGCAGAAAAGTAATTTCTTGGAATAGTTATTTCTGTCTCATTGTGGTCTAAGAATACCTTTCTGCTATTTAGCTTTGTTCACTCAGCAAAACAGCCATTCTGACAAATTTCCAAGTGTTAACAAGGCCCGGGGGACGGAGAGATTGTCTTCGGTGCCAAAACGAAGACTGCCCTAATCCGCATTAGATAACCTAGGCAGTAAAAACGAAGGGTTAGGCTGCACGTGTCGTAGGGCTGAAGTCACACAGCAAAGAGTTAAAAGCCCTTCTCCTCCCAGGTAATGGATATATGTTTGAGGGCATCAAACTCCCACCCAAAAGGGACGCCCAAAGACAGCCGTGGGAGACTGCCTTCTTCAGGCTATGGAGGTCCCAATTAACCCTGTTCAGCTGCTGATGCTTACTCCCCAGTTAGGCTTTAGTCTATGTTACAGTGTCTTCAGCAACTAGAAAGGGTGACCCCAAGCCTTGGGACATCCCTTTAGACTCTTACAGAGGACCCTGTCCTTCCCAGTTCCCTGTTGCCACTCAAACCCAGTACCCTTGGCCCATTGTGTTGTTGTTTGGAGCACAGGGTGGGAAGGGTAGGCTTGCACCATCAGCGCGTGTGTGCACAGATGCGTGTGCCGGAGTGCATGGGCTGGGTGTAAATGTTCAAGTGTGCGGGTGGCAGAGTGTGTTGGGTCTGGGTCTCGCAGCCCCATCACTTTCAGCAGACCTGCACTTTGTGCGTTCGAGAGTCAATGCAAAAGCAGGTGGTCATTTTTGCTGCCAGGACTAGCAGCATTTTGTCTCCATCTTCCATATCCTCTGTCTCCTCCTGCAGCAAACGCCCTGTATTGCTACACCTGTGACTGGGAACACAGCAACTGGAGCTGTCTGAAGGCCGAGAAGTGCTCAGACAAGGATGAGTACTGTGTGACCAATGTTGCTTCTGTAGGAATTGGTATGTGCTGGTTGTGTAGCCTTTGATGGGGACTCAGGAATGGGATGTGGGGTTTGGACCGGGTTTGTTATGGTTGCCCTTTGTTGATGGAAGGGCTGAGGAACCACAGGGAAGCACATGTGGGAGGTGGAGCCTTTGCTAGCCCAGCCTGGCAGGGCTGAAGTTTGCATGATTTGAAATCCTCCTCCCCATTACACATTGAGATTGTCCTCTTTAGCCTTTGTTTTATGCCTGCATGGAAAAGTCAGGGGACACTGAGAGAAGAGGAAGGACAAAGAGGGGATCCTTCAGGGGAAGAATAAATACTTTCAAACCTTGATTAGACAAGGAAATGAAAACAAGCAGGTAGCCAGGGTGGATGAGAAAGGAGGAGGGATATAGAGGGGAATAAAATTATTTCCCTCAAGGAGAGAAGCCTGGAAATGTGCTTTCAGTCCAGGCATGAACATTGTCTCATGGATGCCATTGTACACCCAAGAAACCTTTGACATGAAGGTCCATGCTGGGAGGTGCCAGATGCCCAGCAGGGATATGGAACGCCTTGTATAGCTAGTCACCAGCAATTATTGGGCTGTGGTGGGATTGGGGTGGGTCTCATTGGCCATGCTGGTCCTTGGGACTGTGGGGGACAGCGGGACTCACTAGCCCACCTCCCTCCTGTGCAAGATTGAGGAGCGCTCAACAAACTCTCGTTGCTAATACTGCTCT